TCCATTCATATAGGATAAAGGAAGCCGATATCAAAATAATAATTCTTTCCAGCTTAGAAATGTTTTATTCTATAAAATCCAATCATAATTATTTCTCTGATATAGATTCAATTATTAAGGATACTATGGATGACAATACATATCTAATTATAAATAAAAGCGATCTTATAGAAAACAAATCAGATTTATCGAAATTAAAACAAATTTCTTTAAAATCTATTCCTGTAAACTATGTTTGGTGTTTATCGTGTCTCACAGGAGAAGGATTCAATGAGTTTCAAGAAACATTTATAAATTCTATTAAACAAAAGTAAGATTATATTTTACATTTGTGCAAACAATTTTCGTGTTTAAATTTAATTCTATCTACAATAACTAGATATGATTCATTATCTTCTCAAATCGCTTTAATCACTCAAGCTCGACACCGTGAGCACTTAAGCGATTGCCTAAAATCACTAGAAAACTTTCTTGGTATTTAATTTTAGTAATTATGTGCTAGTCAACAAATTCTTAAATATTTATTGACATATTCTTTTATTTTCTGCACATATAGAACTTAATGATATGGTATTGGCTGCTGAAGAATTAAGGTTTGCAACTCATGCTTTAGGAAGGATTACAGGTCGAGTTGATGTTGAAGAGATATTAGGAGTTATATTTCAACAGTTTTGTATTGGAAAATAAAGTCCAGTCCCTTAACATATATCACTCCAATATTTTTGGTTCTCTTTCCCTTTCAGCAATTTCTTTTTCATTAGTTAATTTTTCTAATTTTTCTATCTCCTCTTCCGTACAAAGGGTTTCTACTTGTCTTGTTGCCAAAGCAGTATTATGATTAACTTTTTCTAATTCCCATAATGATTTATTAAGTTCTCTTTGTGATTTTCGAACACCTTCATTTAATTTTAACTCTGCCTCTCTCAATCTTTGTCCTTCTGCTTTGATTTGTGCCAACTTTGATCAATTATAATAAATTAATTAAAACATATATAAATGGAAACTAAAATTGTTGTAAGCGAGCAGATTTACCTTTTCTTCGAGCACTGGTGCATAAGCGGGAATTTGCACAAGTTTTGGGGTATGTGAAAAATTTGGAGAGCGATTAGATGCGGGTGGAAATGGAGGTCCAGAGTATGGGCGTTGATGTTGTTGTAGTTGTTGCATAGAATTTCCTCTAGTATAATTATTGTAACTAGGAGGTCCATAATCTCGATTGGGTGGCCTAGGATATGAATTGTATGAATGCCCACCACGATAAACTGGTCTTCTTTCATAAGATTGAAGGGGAGATATTGGAGGTCTCCCATATGGTTTTTGATCTCTTGTATTTCCACCATATGAAACTTGACCTCTAAATGCCGATTCTTCTTCTCGCTCATTATATCTACCTATAGGCATTTGTGGTGGTTCTCTCATTTGATAATCTGAATAACCACGAAAAGACATGTAATGAGAATTAGAACCGTAATTATCCCTTTCAGAGGAATAAGGATTATAAGGGTTAGTACGATGAAGTGTAAGATCTCTCGGTCGGTTATAGTTTGGTGGACTTCTACGTTGATCATTAGTTCTATCCATTGCTTTTTTTTAAAAAAAAAAAAAAACGAGAAAAGGTAGTAAATCGAAAAAAAAAAAAATAATAATAATTTTACCGTATTCCTCCGAAAATAAGCAATCCCCGAAAATAAGCAACCCCCAAATTAACTTAATACCCGAAAATAAGCA